CATTAACTGATTTATTGATTAAATTAATCAATGTATTTTCTACGTTTTTATATACAAAGACACAGGACTTCATTTCAATAAAAATACAAGAATGATACCATTAACTGTTATCACATAAAGTAGTACCTTCTATAAATGGTAAAACTGCATGTATAAGCAATTTTCAGCATAAGAATTGATATATATATATATTTTTTAGAGTACCTTCATAAAAGTCCATTTTCTGGCCCTCTGGCCATATTACTCTGAACTTCTTCAGTTTAATAATACCATTTGGAAATGTTGCTGTGGGTCCAAGCAATTATCATGCACATTTTCTATTTCTTTGTGAAGTTTATTTACTACAGCTAGTTCTCTTTTTTTTGGGGGGGGGGGGAGAGATTATGCATGAAATTAATAAACATTCTCAGCTGAAGTTAACATTTCTTCCATGAGATTCATAGCTGATCCAGGAAAATTGATCTGTTATGTTACTCAGATTTCTCACTTTTTATAAGTCCTGAAAAATTTTTGTAATGTTTTTGTGCTTCAACTGATACTTTTGTTTGTTTGTTTGTCAGGAATTTTAATCTCTAAATTATTTCTGTACAGTCAAAAGTCTTTAATCCGGACTCGTCGGGACTTCGGCGATTCCGGATTATCGATTTTTCCGGATTATAGATCATCAGTTTAAATCTGGTAAGATGGCATGCAGAAATTATAAAATTAAAAATATGAAACCGTAATTTATAAAATAATGAGCAATTATGATCTAAAGGGTATCAAAATTTACCAAAAAAGAAGCCTAATATTTATTTGTTTACTTCATTAAACATTTCTTTCAACGCGCGGATGCGTAAAGCATACCTTACGCATAGCCGGAATTAGAAAATTGCAACCAGAAAACTATTTGATTTGTATTCGTGATATTTATAATGACGAGGAATTTGATTTAAATCATATCAAAGACGGAGTACATCGAAATTAAATACTACATTTAGTAAGGAATTATAAGTCGAATAAAATAAAAACATCTGCCCTGAAGATAACGATAGTGTTGACACATCAACTTCCAGTTCATTGCACGCCGCGACGTCCCCCCCCCGCGCAGAGCAGCGTGAAATTGATAAACAGATTTCGGAACGGTTTAGATAAACAAAGGATATGCTTTATCCATTTTTTGTAGCAATTCGTTTTTGTTTGATGGACATCGAAACATACTTTCGTTTTCTAGATCCTTTGGGAGCTCCAGCATCGGAAATTCTATTTGACATAATCGAAAGTTCAAGCTTACTTTTAGAAAATTGCTCTTACAGTCTGCAAAAAATAATAAGCCGGATCCAATTCGAAGATTAAGGAACAACGCAATTATCAACATTAACTGAAATAGATAATTAGATAATTTTAGCTTATACCGTCCGTTATACATTAAACGCGCACGCGAAAACGTATTCTGCACTTGCGCAGACGCATATGCGCAGTCGTAAATGTCTTGCGCGCACGAGTAAAACGCCTATGCGCATGCGTCAATGCGGCGCATGCGCAGAAAGATTTTAGCGTTGAGGTCCGGATTATAGATCATTCCGGATTACGGGTGTCCGAATTAACGACTTTTGACTGTATATGCTCAAATTTACGTCACCTTGTGAGGTCAGCGATATTTTATGGAAAGGTCAAATAATTGGTTAACTAACTTTGCTAAACTTATCTGACAAGCTGAAGATGAGTGTCATGTTCTCACCTATTCGAGAAATAGGAATTCAATGTTGGGAAAATTCAGCATTAGTATTAAAATTTATTAAATGTATGCTAAGATTAAATAACTTTTTTACTTTTAAATTTAACTTATAATACTATATTTTACCAGGTTAATTTTAACTTGTATATAAGCTGATCCTCAAGCTTGAGTAGAAAAATATTTGCTAAAATTTCTTGGCTTATACATGGAAATATGTGGTATTTTATCTATTCACTTTTCTTGCAATTTGATTTTATTCCATACTGTGCCTTGTCAATTCCTATTCTCTTCGTAAATGTTGGTAAAAACGTGAACAGAATACATCATTTTTATCTTCAAATTAATGGTATCCATTTTAATCATCAATTAATCATTTTATTTGAAGTTTATTTTATCGTAAAATCGTGAGGGTAAAACTCTGTTATTTTATCATTGTGATTTATGAATCTTCATTACCTTATTGTCTGTTCTAGAGCTATTTTGATTGTTTAAATATAATAGCTGTTAATGATACTGCTAACAGCTGTTATTCTTCTGCTGGAGAATTATAAAAATAAAATTTTCCTCATTACTGGCATCTGTGTTAACCAGACAATTAAGGTTCAATACACAGGGTTGCCACGCTACCTGGAAAACCGGGAAAAGTCAGGGAATTCGAAAATTGACAAAATTCAGGGAATTTAAGTATTTTTGTCAAAATCTGGAAAAGTCAGGGAAGTTCATACAATGATCCCGCCAAAAAAAAGCGATTTTTGCGCCGACGTCGGAAGAGATAACTTTTTTGGCGAATTGCGTATCACGTGAGTGTCATTCGGGCAGCTGGCATAGAGCCAATTTTCGCAGCTCCAATTTGATTGTCTTTTAGAAAGGCAAAGCAAGTTTCCCTCAACTTTTGGTTTCCAGTATTCTCGAGAATAGCATGTGCAGTGCATGAACTAAAGAAAGTACCTGTTCTCGTATAAAACAAAATTATACGAGAACAAAATGGGTTTAATCTTAGTATACGGTACCATGGAGGTTAGAATCAAAGAATATGTATTGTAAAGAAGGAAAACCTCTCTGCAACAGACGTGTGGCTCCGTTCCATCATAGAGGGAAACAGCTGTGCATGCGTGATATATTGCTGCCAAAGCTCGAAACCGGTGTGGAAGTTCATTCAAATGAATATCCTTTAAAATTTCTTTAACCACTTGCGCTAAAAAGACGTGCCACGCACGTCGAGATGTTTTTGTCTCAAACTGGCGAGCGACGTGAAACACCACGTCGATAAGCATTTATCGCAAAAATGAAAATAACATGGTGCACACGTCGCCCTAACAACGAGATTGTTTATTTTTCGAGTTACAGCTCTGGATTGTACTCGCAGATGCGGAGCGGCGTAAATGAGACACTTTACCGCTTGCTATATTGTAGCGCAACGGCACCGCAACCGTGAAGTTTAGTCTTAGCGCAAGTGGTATTTTAACTCTAAAGGAAAAGAAAATATTTTTTGGCGCAAGTAAATTAATTCATGGGTTAGTAATTTTCAGGGGGGGGGGAACTACGAACATCCGTTTTTAAAATTATTGCGACAAATCTAAGAAGAAACGTCCTTTGATAAAACCTTTCTTTCCTTTTCCTTTTATAAATTTCCTTTTCCGCAATAATTTAAAAACGGATTTTCGTAGCTTTTTTTGTCAAAGAAACGTTTCTTCTTAACACGTTTCTCAATTTCCGGTACACATCGCGGAGAGGGAAATTCTGGCCGCCAGGTTCCGTCGCCAAATCCCTTGGCATATTTTCCTCCGCATTCTAGCGGCGTGTAATAGCATTTTACTTGTATGGAACCTTTTTCTTCTTTACATAGACCAAAGAATCAGAGATTCTTTGCATAGACGTTCTTTGGTTAGAATAATCTCCATGTATGGTACAATGGGATTTGGCGACATGATGATGCGCAGTAAACGGGTCATTTTGGTCTTGGCGACAATTTTCAAAATCATGCCAAAGCCTTACCGTATACTAGAATTTACCGCAAAATCTTTTTAAACTTTTTTTTTTTCTTTTAATAAATACCTTGCCATTTGCAGTAAAATAAAAAAAATAGTAATCTGTCATCTAGGCTAACCATGTAATATAAACTATATTCGCTAAAATATCGTTGATTATTCTAATTCAATTTTTAAGTAATTATCTTTATTTTATGTTATTCGTATAATTTAATGATGCTTCTTCCCTCTAAATTTATTTATTATTAGTAAATAATATTTCCAAATTTCAGGAAATTTTCTCTGGCATAATCTTGAAATTAATTCTAGCAGTATGATGACATACCATCACGAAATTTAATGCACATATTTTTTCCTTATGTATGCTGCGAAATAAATATAAAATACCTCAATTTATTAAAATAGATTTCTTTCTTTCGTTTAGCTGCAGAATGTCTGCAAAAAAAGCCTTATTTTATTCCAGATTGGGAAGATTCTAATCTCAATCTTCAATGGAGAAAACAACAACTATTATAATTATATTTGTGTTTTCAAGTGTTAAGGTGCTTTTTAAGAACATACCTCACACAAATTAAATTTACCTAAAATCTAACCTAACTACTATTTAGCATTGCATTGTGATTTATAAGGACCGGATTAGCCTCGTGTTGAACTGGTGATGATCATGAGTAATAATTAAATAAAACATACATTTGTTATCCAATTTATATATCTTAAATTTTATTAAGTTTCTTAAGTGGAAAAGTAAACAAAATTATCAAACAAAGCATACCAAGAATAATTAAGAATAAATGTCCTTTGGGATTTATTGAATAATTAAGTGAATTTGCTACACAATACAAGTAATACCATAATTAATTTACCTCTTAGCGTAGCCAAAGTACATTATGCGAATAGACTGGAATTTTCTTGAAACACACCTGGAAAACCTGGAAAAGTCAGGGAATTTCATTCTCCTGTTTGAGTGGCAACCCTGAATACAATATAAATTTCCAGTTACTTAATTCATACTGCTAGACTGATGATTATTAATTTGTAGAAATGCTTCTGCTATTGTCATGTTTAGTAATTAATATGAAAAAAATTTTTTATCTAGTCAATAATGAGCCTTATTTTTCAATTTATGAAATATGAGAACATTAACTGTTTTTATAAGAAATGTTTATAATTTGCTTTAAAAGCTGTTCCTATCATTTTGTCGGGTAACAAATACTTTAAAATAAAAAAAATCACTGTTAACTGCACTTTTTATATTGAAAGTGAAGAATAATAATGTTACATTTCTCTTTCATAAGCATGAATCCAAAAATGTGAGTGAATTAAAGGAAAATATTCAAGCCACTGCAAGAGATTCACGTAAGAAAGAATTTTCAGTGTAAATAATGATAATTTTTCATTTTATAAATTGAAATATTTATATTTGGAAACCGTTGCTCAAGTAATCAACAAAAGTGAAAAATATACATTAAGAAATTCTTTCTTTGCAATTTGTGATGTAGTATTCAAATATTAAAACTTTATTTATTATATTCAATTTAAAATTGTGAAATGACCCATAAAATAGGACTATACGAAACATAAAATGAGATAAACTAGTTCTAAAAATTATGATTAATGTTAATGAAAAATATAAAATTTATTATTGTTAATTATTATTTAAAATAATTTTTATAATTACTATTTTAATAACTTTAATTGGTTTAAATTTAAATTGTGATCTGTTTTGCTTGTTCTGTCCCACAGTTTGCCTTTCAGTTTGTTTTTCACTCATCTTCGTTTGCCTTTCAATTTGAAATAAATAGTGATTACAATACAAAGGTGTTGCTTTGCAGTCACAGGTGAATTCAATATAAAGCATGTTATTTTAATTTCCGTTTATCAATTTGACATTAGTATTCCATGTAACCAATTAACACCCCTTTTTTTCTTTCCCCAAGACAAAATAACTAATAAAGTACAAAGTCTGTAATCTGGACATCCATTATATGGAATGATCTGTAATCCAGACCTCAAAGTCACAAACTTTTTTTTTTGGGTATGCTTTACGCATGCAAGTTAATGCGTGTTTAAGCATGCGCATGCGTGTTGGGAAGATGTTCTAAAGATATGTTAAAAAATGCTTGCCATATTTCATTGTGAGGACGATGAAGATGATAGCCGCGAACATCACAAACTAAAGGGGAAATTTTCCAGTTATTGGATTTTGTTGAGGAATGTGGAGAAGCGGTAATATATGAAGATGATATAACAGAAGTTTTTCATTGCAACGACAATGCCAAAATCATCAATCAATTAATAGTATGGTTCTAGATCCAGAAAATACTGCTTCCGATAGGTGGAACTTTGGAACTGAACAAGAAATTTCATCTGTTTTATAGAATTAAAGAGAAAGTATTAGCACAAAAAATGAAGCAACTTAAACAACTTACATTGAAAGAAATGTTTAATAAAGTAAACAAATAAATATTAAGCCCTTTTTTGTGTAAATTTTGATACCCTTTAGATCATAATTGCTCTTTATTTCATAAATTACGGTTTCATATTTTTAATTGTATAATTTCTGCATGTTATCTTACAAGATTTAAATTGATGATTTATAATCCGGAAAAAATATCTAATCCGGAATCGCCGAAGTCCCAATGAGTCCAAATTACGGACTTTGTACTGTATGTTTGATAAAAGAAAGCTAACTGGAAGGTTGACATTTTTGTATCAAATGTTATTTACTTTAGGCTATGATTGAAAAATAAAATGTGAAGATTTCAAAATAAAAATTTGGAAACAGAATGATTAAATTTAAGGAATATGTCAGGGAAACTGCAGAAATATGGCTACAATATCTGGAAGGATTCAAGAAAGCTAATGAAATTAATTAACCCTTAGCCTGTCGAGTGATTTTCTGCGAATCCCTTTAAAACTGTCGCTAGTTTTGGACCGAACTTCCTGTAAAATGTCGCGAAAATAAGCATAAACCTCTGAAAATTGTCAAGCAGTTCTTTTGTTATTTCTAATCCCTCCCAGAATTTTACTTCAATGATTCCGCTAAGTGAGATTGATTACACTAGATATTGTTCGGTAGATGTGAGCTCTCAAGAGAATTGCAAAAGGCTAGACTCTCCGTGATGACCGTCTTAAGGTTCAGGGTACAGCTGCGAAACTTAAAAGTTTCCTTCCCTTAAACAATCTTATCTCTACATATCTTCTCTACATATAATAAAAGAAAGAGTCTGTCTGTGTGTGTGCCTTTCGTTCGCGCTGCGCGTAAGCTAATAGACCCACGGCTACGAAATTTGGTACATAGGTACATCTACACAAGAGCCAGTGCACTTCGAAGCGATTTTTTTTCGAAAATTCGAATTTTTTTTTATTTCATGTTTTGTGACGAAAATCGTGTCATTTTGAAACATAATGGTCTATAGGAAAGCGAGATTTTACTCTACACACTCCATTTTTACATCGTCATGAAACGTAGGCACTTAGCTATTTTACGAACTTAAAATAAATTGCGTGTTCAATAAATTTCAATACGAATTTATTTAACAAAGGGAACTTAACACCTTTTAAACGGGATTTTTTCTAAAAAAGTTTATTTTTAAAAATGTACAGTTTTTTTTTTCTTTGATTTTTGGACACGTTAAACTTTCATCCTTGCGACTGCTTTTACAAAAAGAATTTTGGAAAAATGATAATATTTTGTATTTTTAAAACATTTTTTTAAATGAAGCTTCCGAGTACACTTCTCACATCTCACATCTTTAAAAAATGTGATTTTGGCAACAATTTTCCTGTCTTATTGTTGTTGATAGATTTTTGATGAAATCGCATCATTTTGAATAGTTTCATTCTTTTAGAAATATGGGTTTGGCAACAATTTTTCATCGTATTTCTTATGTCACTGTTTTTAAGAGATTGGCATATTTCATTGTCATTTTATATATAAATAATATATTTTTATGATTTTTTTTTTTTTTTTTTTTTTTTTTTTTTTTTTTGATAAAGTTGTTCTGTGGAGTAAAATTTTCGCGGAATTTTATGTTTTTTGAGTTGCTTTCATGTTATTTTTTGCTTATTTCCCTGTTTATAAGATATTGAAAAGTTTTGCATGATTTTTGTTCTACGGAAAGTTGGTTAATTTTTTTAATTAGGATAATTAATATTTGTATTAAGAGATATAGCTTATTTCATTGTAATTTTTTCCCTTGAAAACATAAGATAAAATATCATTAATTATACTTTGCTTTTCAGAATTTTTTGTTTTTTGCATTCCTTTATTTTATTTATTGCTCATTTCACTGTTTTTAAGATATTGAAAAGTTTTGACTGATTTTTTTTAGGAAACAAAGTTCTTAACCTCCTTTATACCATTTGAGTTCTTAAGATTTTGCAAAGGGAATTTGGTTAATTTATTTATTAGGATAATTAATATTTGTATTAAGGGATATTGCTTATTTCATTGTAATTTTGTTATACGTAATAACTTTTTTATGAAGTTGTTCTGCAGAGTAAAATCCTACGCAGTTTTTAAATTTAACGTTTGGAGTTCCCTTCAGCCATTTTTCCGGTACATTTAAAAGCCAGACGAAGGCTCGCAGCGAAGCTGCTAGTTTTCAAATAAATTGGTTTTAAAATTTACCCGGTTATATTTTAAATTATTACGCATTTTTAACCTAAGTAACCTAAATCTGTATGTCACTGATTATCACCGGAATTTCAATGCAGACTGATTAAACTGCTATCACTAAAATTATATTCTGACAAATATCTGGTGCAATTTTCATTCCTTCTGAGATATTGCTGAAACATTTCGTATTATTTCCGATTTTCTGTATTTTTGTCATTAATTAAAAATCTTTAAAACCTTCAGCATTTTCCTATATTCTTCAACTGCATGCAACTAATAATTATTTTAAATAATTTCTTTTTTCCTTAATTATTACGTAGTTTTAAGAGAGTAATAAGCGAAACATTTGGGTGTTTTTTAAGGGTGATAATATTAATATTAAATTTGCATTTTACTTTTTCATATACATTCAAGATATTCAGAAAGGGAATTATAACATGAAAAACCGTTTTCAGTGTATCATAAATTTATTGATTCAAATTAAAAATTCTTGCTTTCCTGTCCAAGAAACACTAGTAAATTTTATCTCAAATAGGAAAGATGAGACATATTAATAACGAACAAAGCAATTAATTTGGAAGTCAAAAAAACAAAAATCAGCGTTATATTTTCAAATTTTCACAGGACTAGTTTCGATGGTTTTACCGAACCATCATCTTCAGCTTCAAAAGTGCAAATGAACGAGATAAGATATAATGAAAATTAGATTGTGAAAATTTGAAAATATAACGCTGATTTTTTGTTGTTTGACTTTCAATTTAATGTTTGTTCGGCTTGTTATTGTATCTTAATTAAACAAAGCAATGTTGTTACTTATTAGCTTACAATATAATTTATTCAATATGGTTATTTTGTAAAGAAAGAGTGTTGCTGTACATTTGGTAAAGTAAAAATAAGCATTTCATTTAATTATAAGTTATTAATTATTTATAATTAATCAATATATAATTTATTTAATAATTAATCATAAGAATATGAATAATTAAATATTTTTTCGGAGATATATTTTCCGGCGATATTTTTTTTCTAGGGATCCCAGCATACATTTTTGAAGCATTATGCTCTAAATAAATGTCTTGTTTAAACATAGCATTTATTGTTGACAAATCTCCAACCAAAGGAAATACCTTACTAGGGAGGATATTTAAACAAAAATTTTTATTAGAATAAATATTTTCGTCATTTTAATACTACTAATAATATACAAACATTAATTAAAGTTCACTATAGTTGAGTGAATAAGATTGCTGGATGTTGATAGTTTGTTGTTGGCAACCGAACAGTTTAGCTGCTTGTCGTCTTTATGATTTTCCCGATGCTTAACATGAATTCAAGCCAATTTTATTTAGAAAATTGCCCACGAAGGTGTTCTCTTAAAGCAGATAACCCATGACTTCTTAAAAACTGTAAAATATAATCTGTGGATATTTTCCGTTATACGATAACACGAAGAAAATGATTTCCTATACGAAACATATGATCAGCGCTGTTATTGCGCGCCGTTTAATTAAATGCATCCATCTTATTCCTTACAATTAGTTTTCCTTTTTCAAAGAAAGTTTGATTTCAGTAAAATGTACTATTTACAGTGTGTCATTTTATTTTGCTCGTTTTTTATGCAAATATTCAAATTCAGATAGATATTGCGTAAGTTCAGAAAGCCAACTAGTCTCCAAGCGGTAAGATAGCTGAGCACCGGTAAATTCTAGCGGCTGCATGGGAGGCTTAGGGGTTT